AAAAGGGTTAAATGTAGTAGAGTGGGCAAGTTTCCAAGGGTCAGCTTAGCACATCTCTGTGAGGTGGTATTAAGGCAACATACAGCAGTAGGAGGTCTTAATTTACATTTACATGGTAAAGATACAAAACACTGCTAGTAATCATATCATCCTCGAGTCGATTCTCAAACACATTAACAGGCAAAAATCAAATCAAAATGCATGAAGAAGTCAACACATACAAATCATAATCAGTGAATTATTGCTAAAAATGCAATCCTTTGGGAAGGTTTTTGGAGGCAGTCGGTTACCAGGCAGTTTCTTATTTGTAGAGTGTTGGTCAGGTTTTTTCACAATTAAAAAAAACAACATTTTTACCAGATAGAGCTGTAGCTGGTCACATGCAATGTAAAAATCTTCTAAACTTTTCTCAAGCTTGTTATTTGGCCCCTCAGTTGTCTTCCTGTAGAATAATAATAATAATAATAATAATAATAATAATAATAATAATAATAATAAACAAAATATTGTACTTGTCTCATTAAGTTAATGGTCAGGAGTAAGTTTTAATTATTTCTTATTTACAGAAATAATCATATTTCTCTGACTGTTTCTCTTTTGACCAAATAATTGGGAACCCTTTAACTACCAGGAAAGTGTGACAAAACAGCTGATTGGCTCAACCCTTTAACTCCCAAGATCTGATTGTTAATTTTCCACGTTAGCTGCTACACATTTCCTCGAAAATTAGTTATGAGAATTTGGTGTTAGATCAAAATAACAACTTCTGCCTGATAGCTTTGAGTATTCCCATTGCTTTTTCGCTGGATGATGTATGGATATTATTGAGTAAAGTTGCGTGTTGATTACCTCTGGTAGTGAGAGGTTGATAGCTCTTGCACAAATACTACACCACAGGATAAGCTCTAATTACCACAAGCAAGCTATACTGTGCCTGACCCAAGGTGGAGTCAAAGAGGCAAGGAAAGAACAATACTTTCAGTTTTTTGTTGGAAACAAGCTATGTAAAATGTAACTCTTTGCAAATCACATTATTTTGCTCATTTGCTCTGTTCTTATGTGGTGCCCTCATCTCATTTCTTCATATCATATGCAACTAATTGTATTTTTATCATTTTTCCTACACATTTATTCAGTTGATAATTCATATATTTAAGAAAATGTCTCAAAATTTTGTTACTTCCTTTTGTAAGCACTGTTTTGCTATTATATCAAGCATCAAGCTCTACATATATCCACTGTCCATTGGGGTTCATATACAGTTCATTGATTTAGTTGTCTATGAGCTGATAAATGAATAAAGAGAGAAAGTTTTAAAAGAAACTGTGTTACTGCATTGGTGGGAGAATATAACATGATACTTTGGTTTAATCAACTCCATTGATAATGAAGAAGGGCCACTGTGAAGAGTTTCAAAGCTAACATTGTGGGCCTTGGTCCTTCTTGAATATTTGCTCTGATGAAAGGCTAACGCTTGAAAAGTCAGCTTTGAAACTCTTTAACATGGTCAATTTACGTTACAAACTCAGTTAATTAAAACCAAATTATCCTATGAGCTAATAAACCCTTTCACTTCCAAGGTTGATCAAAAAGGAATTACTCTTTTCAAATAATCACACCATTTTAAAGCAGAAATGTGATAAGATAACACAAAAATATCAACTTACGTTCCAAGGTCAACTTCTGCATTTTGATCGATGGCCTGATTTGCTAATCTCATAACGTTCTGTAACAAATTAAACCGAGTGACTACATTATATTAGGGCGAGTACCAGTAAATGTACATGGAATTGTTGAACTTAAGCTACGTAACATCTGTCTCATCAGGTTGCAGAGAAATTTTGGAATCACAGTCACTGAACCCCATCTCTTTTAATAAATATTAGTAACTGAAAACTTGAAAGATCAAGCCTGGCTAATTTCTTGTGCAAGTTATACCCATCACGAGATAAGATAATCAAGTCTAGGGTACCATCGATCGCGTAAAGCTTGACAACAACACCTGAGGTGGCGTTTAATCACCGTCATCTCTCTTTAAAGTATGTTATTCATTATAATCCTACCGCGAGCGTGTCTTTAGCATGTTTGATCAGTTTTCCAACGTACTCCGCATCGATCGCCGAGCCGGCAGTATTAGAAGAAGCCATTACAGATTTTAGTTATGAGCCTCCCATATGCCAAACCAATTGTTCAGCAGTCTGCATCAAAGATTTACACCAGGTTATGTATGCCCAAAACAAGATTTGAACAAAATGGCGGCAAGTCATGAAGGTTTGCTTCGTGTTTCTTCTTCTCCAGGACAACTGCAGATGACTTGTACAAGTGAATTCGTCGCATTGCCCTTAACAAAGACTATTGTAGGAGTTTGGTGGCTTGGAGATATCTCGAGGAAGGTAAAGCCAATTAAAGATGGAGTTAGATTTGTTACCTATAGTTACTAAGTTAACTGTAACAATTAAAATTTGATGGAAGTTATTTTGCCCTTGATTTTGAGGTACTGAATTTGATTTGGTTTTTTTTTTTAATAAGAAGTAATAAGATCACTTGGTTTTCACGTTGATGTTAAAATAAATTCACGATTAAGCATTTTTACTTATCAGAATATTATCGAATCATGTCTTCTTGAGGATACGGACGATGTAGGGTGTTAAATGAACAGCTACTTTCTAGTATATTTTCTTATCTTTGAAGCATGACAGATTTTTTTCAGAGCTATTTATTTCATTGAACATGACTCAGTAGTCGTTTGATCTTTAGATCCTCTCAGCCATTCAGAAAAACGATTGGCGAAAGCAGCTTCTATAGCAACAACATCTAACATCATGAGGATTTTTTTTTTATACCATAAAACTGTTTTCTGAATTTACAAAAAGTTATACACTATTCATTTTAAGTTTTATTTTCAGCCTTTACAGCTCTCTGGCCACAGTGGAATAATAAGTGCCACCTGTTTTGGACAAAAGGACAGACCTCTTCTTCTCTGCACTGCATCAGAAGACTTTATCTACATCTGGAACATTGACAAGCTTTTGGCTATTGACAATATAAGTATGATATACTAATGCAATATTTGCCAGATAGTTTATGGTTGCTAAACAAAAAAAACACTAGGGCAACAAGGGTACATGTGCAATTTAATTTGAATTAAGAGAAGAATTTCTAATGCTTTGTCTGAAGTAGGCAGTGCTTCAGAAATGAGAATTGACTGAAAAAGTTTGCTGCCAGTAGTTTTAGAGAACAGTGCTGATGTGCAAATTATATGCAAAACATCTAGAATAAACTATGGGAATGAGGCAGACACTCCATGCATGACAAAATTTTATGTTAATGTGTCAAACAATTTGAAGCTTCAACTTAACACTCCCCCCCTTCCCTGAGCAGCCCATGGGTATAGGCCATCATATGTGCAGGGGAGTGGGGAATGGAATGTGAATCTTGCTTATGGTGGGATGGGGAATTTGCATCAGAAGTGTTAAGTCTTTCTGGCAGAATACAAATGTTGTATCTTTAAATTTGGTGGTTAGGGTTAATATTTAAATATACCCTGGAATTTGGGGTAAATATTTCATTTGTGCTAGTAAACAGCTCAAAAGAAAAGGTCTGATGTTTTGAGTGTTAGCCCTTTTTCAGAGTGAATGACAAAAGGTTAACTCTCTGGCAAAGGGCTTAAACACTCAAAATATCAGCTTTGTAACTCTTTACAGTTGCCAATTCATGTTATCAACTCAATTGATGAAACTTAATCACCCTTTTATACTCTCCCACTGATGCAGCACCACGGTTTCTTTAGAAAATGACCCCCATCATTCATTTTGCTAAGTTATAAAGCTTGGTCAATGTGTAGAAAGTGATGGTCACTGATTTTACCTTCTGCAAAAAAATTGGGTGGTGTACTTGAATACAATTTTTTGTCGCCAGGAAGGGAATTTGAATGAACCAAATCTGCATATTAAAAGTTCAAATGATGGGGAAATTACCAGGAAGGGGATATGTCAATGCTTCAAATTGAATGAAGCATAAGTTTGAAAATTAAATTACAGTGTCGAGAAAATGATCCATTGAATGGCCTCCCTGGTTAGTTCTAATCAATAGACGTCAATATTGAACATCTTTATATTACAGCTAGTGATCATAGCAGTGGGATACCAGTTGGTAAAGACCTGGGACATGTCCAACATCTTAGCTTTAGCATGACTGACAGGTTGATTACGGCATGTATTGGGAGAGAAATATGGGTCATTAACATCCAGGTATGTCATTTCAGACTTGCAGTATTTATAATACAAACTTGTATTTTTTTGTCAGTTCAGAAATATATTTGATACCTTTCTTATTTTTCATATTATTAGACTAGCAAACTGGACACTTTGTTGGAGGGCCACACCAGCATTGTAACATGTGCAGAGTTTCCTCCTAAAAATGAGTCAATCATTGTGTCTATAAGTGAAGACAGAACTTTTAAGGTATGTTCAATGTACATGCCTGTGTATTATATACTTTAGTAAACTTATATTTTTCTTAGACAAAGCATTGCAGCAGGAAGTAATCAGGGAAAGTTGTTACATTGAGTGCTGAACATTTTTTAAGCAGGAGAAATGATTTAAGACTTTTCACAATAATATCATATGATAATACCAACATGCATGTAATTATCTAACGAATAAACCCTGACAGGAATTCAGTACATTAAAAGATAATGTACAAGCTGAACATTTATCACTGTCCTTTCAATCCCAACATTTATCATTAATTGTGCTTATAGTAGAACAACATTTTATCATAATAACTAATTCTTTCAGAAATGTTTTTTTTAACTCACCACCTCAGAACTACTGATATTGTTTAATCACTCCTAGGAGTGGAAGGGTTAAATTATTATCAGTTGGCTGAGACATTTTAGATCCTGTGGAAGTTTGAAATACTACAAACACCACTGTAGTTGTAGCTTTGTCATTTACACAATAGCTCTGGATAGTGGATGATCCTTAATTTAGCTTTGTAAGAATTATCTTAAGGAAGAGAGAATAGTGAGAAAAGGAAAACAATTTCTTTTTCTTTTCCTATCTTTTCCCAGTTTTAAACCTGCTCTTACAAAAATTTAGACAACTCTCAGAAAATTAAAGTGCATTAACTGCATACTTGCTAGGCTTATAGTTATGATGCTTGGCCTAAAATTAAAGATTTTACAAAACCTAATTAACAGTTTGCTTACACTTTGTCTGCATCAAATTTATGACTCAAGGTGTGGAACATTGAGCAGTCATGTTTGGTGTACCAGTCAGCCATTTTGTCAGGTAGGGTTAAAATGTATTTGCTTGAATAGAGCAAGGAAACATTCAAATTACCCTTGGAATCAGTTCTTTTTTTTATCCTTAGAGTATACTCCTTGCAAGTTATTCAGATTTTTTTAATGAATAAACTAGAAACACAGTAGATTAGTAAGAAATTTCCCTAGCATTTATCCCCTTCAGTTCAGAATAAATTTCATGATCAGTTTTTTCTGGCATGTAAAGGCAGAAAATTGTTCAATTATAGTTGCAAGTTTGCTTTGAGTTTAGGATTTGTAATCTAACTTATGAATACCTTATTTTCAGCTCATCCATTCCTTTCACTTGCTATGGATTCTGTTCAAGAACAGATGGCAATTGGTTCTGCTGATGGGAAGGTAACAAGTCACAGAATTATGAGCCTGCAACCAATTATCACTTTCACATAGAGAAATACTGACTCGTGTGAATTTTTTTGACTTTTAAAGCTTCACTTGTATGACCTAACTTACAATGGTGGTTACCGATGCTTGTATGAACTGGATGTTAATCAGCTGATGCAAAAATATTGGAGTCAAAAAGAAACTATAGCAGAAACATCAAAGAATGGGCCTTCGTTTATAAACAGTCAGCCAACCTGGCAAAGTAAAAGTACCCCAGATGAAGGAAATGAAGTTGTTTTGGAACCAGGAATGGCTGTACTTGCTGTCTGCTTCATAACAAACCCTCTTCAAGAAAGTGCTAGGCATAGGGATGCAGGAGCACACAGGGTCCTTTTTGGCTCACACACTGGATCAGCCATAAAGTAAGAACAAAGATTAATATGTGAGCCAACAAAAATCTACTTCACCACACAGTTGTAGACTTCAAATCAAGAAGTTTGGAATCCAGGCTGGCTAGTATTTTATGTTATATAATTATTCATATTGTTTAAATTAGGGTTCTTAAACTTGCAGTCAAGTTACAGTGTATCTCTTTCTCCACTTGGCCAGTATTATGTATTAACTATTTTGCATTATTTATTTAGAGAAGAATTCACTAAATGTATGAAAATTGAGTCTGTTGACCAGTTCACCTTAGAGGGCCAATTCTGAGACTGAAAGGGTTTTAGAAACTAAATTATTCTCTACTCCATTTAACAAATAGATTCCAAGCTGCCGTGCGTCTGTTCAGTAATATATCACAGATGATGTCAAAATGTGGTAAGAACAAAAAAGTGGCACACGAGGCGCAGCGGAGTGTGTCACTGATGTTCTTACCACATTTTGACGTCCTCTGTGATCTGTTACTGAACAGATGCACAGCAACTTGGAATCTATTTGTTTTATATAATAAAGAATTTTAAAAGTTTTAATGATGATGTCATCTATACGTGTGTCCTCCAATAGATCATAAGTGAGAACCAATTAGAATGCATGCATAACTGAGCTTATTAAATAATTTATGTTCAAGCACCAGACATCTTTTGTTTGTTTTCTTGTTAAAGGGATGTGTTTCATGTGTCCTCCATTGTGGCCATAGCAACAACAGCTGCCATTGTATTGTTGAACTGTGACAGCAGGGAGCCACTTTATGTTCTGGACTTTCAAGGTAGTCTTTTATTCAATACACAATAAACCCTTTAGCCCCTAAGAGTGACTAGCATCTAATTTCTCGTTATGGTATCACCTCTGAATCAAACATGAAAGTCATGAGAAGAAGTAGATGATCACCAACTAAAGCAGCTCTTGATTATTAAACAAATTCTCCTTGTCAGCCTCTTTGGAAATGTCTGGAGAAAAGTAAGGAGAATGTGCATACTGATGTTAGGGTAAAGGGTTAATGGTTTGAACTCAGAAGTAATGATCAGTTGTGTGGTCTTATCATGTGTAAGTGAGTGACATCCCAACAACCTGAAGAATCATGTCGTAATAACTATTGGAGGAA